CACTAGGATCATGTATTTATTTGGTCAGTTTGGATGTGTCGATAACATATATATATATATAAACATTATCTGCATGGAAAACCCTTTTGAACAACTGGTGATTACAAATGAAAAAATCACTTACATGTGGTGGCGCCACTAATCACCACTACGATGCGGCATGCCCACATGCCATTGGTCTAATCAACTTAAACTTTCCATCGGGAAATAAATTATTTCCGGATTCCTTTCACCAAATCCATCAATCTAGATCCTTTGAAATTTTGATCAAACGACTAAAAACAGGAACCCCTTTAAAAGTTATAATAACTTTAGTCATTGTATCAAATTTTAAGGGTTCGGATTGATGGATTTGGTGAAAGGGATTTCCGGATCCCCTTCCTTTCCATCAAAGAGAAGAGATATTAAATCTTTTGCACTCAAAAAAGGTGTGGTCTTTCAGTGGCCACAATTATTAGTAGACACGTGTTTATAAACTTATTTTTGTTAGCATAAACTTAATATATGTCAAACAATAATTAGGATTATAGAGAGACCACATTCATTTTGAATGTAGAATATTTGATCTCGGTCGAAGAAGCCTTGTTCATCTTAGTTCAAAACCCAAGTCCTTTTCAGCTCGTCCAACTATTATCTAAGCTTTGTATCCAAAATGTAACCGGACGTAACACTTGCGGATCCACAACAGGATACTGCAACTACTCTCACACCTCATTGTTTTTGAGTATTGGCATAATAAATACGTGATGCCCCCAACTTTTCAGGGTGAGAAGGGGTAGAGAAAATGCGTAGAGCTAACAAAGAGTTGGTATAACTTACTAAAGCTTGTTTTATTAACATTCACATATTGTTGAATATACTTCACATATTTAATACATTTCATATTTGCTTTTTTCAGTTAAAATTTATCTTAATACACCTCACATAGATTCTTATAATATCCTCACATCTCGCACTCTCTTAGGTACAATAAACATTTTATGTTTTCATTTTTATTTTTTACACCCGACACTCTTCACATCTTTGAATTATAACATGATTTCTATGTTGTTTCTCCTCCCTTTCAAAGAAGGAAGATTTAGATTTGAGAAAAAAATTGGAAAAAAATTAAAGCAAGGAGAGGAGATGGTGGTTGACCCGTAATTTAGGTGTGAAACCGAGCCAAACTGCATCGTACCCACCCCTAGACTGGCTAGGCTAGACTGACACACAGTCTTGGTAATTCGTTACAAGTCCATACACATTGTTGGCTGGTAATGGTACTCATCCAGTGTTAGATTGGGCTTCTTTGTTGTTCTGTCTTGGGCTTTGTGGATTCATTCACTGGGTCCTCCCCTCTTGGGCCTTCGCCAGAAAACAAACAAATAAACAAACAAAAGTGGCAAATCGAAGTGAATCAGAAATGCACGCGAATGCGTCAGCCGTCGAGCGATGTTTATCCTGCACTTCGCAGAGCTTGAAAAGACCAAATGGCATGGCCGATTGCAAAGCTTATCTGCTGATGCAGCAACCATCCCAACCAATCATAATTAATTTATGTTATATTAAATTAATTTAAACTAAAATCAAAGAGCCAAATTCAGAAACAGCAGAACATGAATATATAGAGTCACTCGTAGGTAGAGAGCTCACTCCGATAATTTTTACTTCGGAATTATAGTAATTTTTAAAATCCAGAAAGTATGATGAACGCAAGGCGGCTCTGGCATAAGCGGGCTTTGGTCAACGGTGGCCGGTGGCTCTGTCCGTACACCTCTTCAGCTCAGTCGCCGGCGGCGGTGCATTCTTCCCACCACTCTCCGTTTCGAGTCTCCTCTTCCGATCTCGTTGCGTTCTCTACTGCCGCTTCCACCCGGTTGTGCTTGGCCGATCAGGTATCCATTGTAAGTCTCTTTCGCTTGCTAATTAATCTTGGTTCTGATTAAATGATTGGTTAGTAATCAAAATTGTGGAAATTGTTTAAATTTACATTCAAAGATGGTTCTTTTCAACTATTTTTTTGGTAAATTTGTTCGTAATCTGTATGGTTATTTATTTATTTTGCAAATTGTGAATTTTTAGCGTAGAATTGCGTGTAATGTGAATGGGAGGTGGTTTTCAAGTGAGGCAGTGGCTGATGTTGCAGCAGGGGTTAATGGTAATGGTATGGTTGATGTACCGTTGGCGCAAACCGGAGAAGGCATTGCCGAATGCGAGCTACTCAAATGGTTTGTGCAGGAGGTCTGTTATTCCTTCTACCTTTCGCATAAACGTATCCTGTACAATATAATTGCACATGCATTTGTATACATTTATGTTGTTGATCCACGTATTTGTGCAAGGTTTGTCAGATTTGAATGGGAAGTTTTCGCAGGCCTGAACAGCCACATTGACGGTCTTCATTTTGCATACAATGGGAGTGTCATTTAGTATGAGTATATGATATTAGGTTGTTTCGAAGAGAATGTGGAATTTGAGGTTTAATTTGTGATTTTGGCAGGGGGATCAAGTTGACGAATTTCAGCCACTTTGTGAAGTTCAAAGTGACAAAGCAACCATCGAGATAACAAGCCGTTATCAAGGGAAAGTTTCTCAGCTTCTCTACATTCCTGGTGACATCGTCAAGGTCAGAATACTATTACACCTTACAACCTATGGTTTGAGGATTTGTGGAGAAGTCCGCATATGTAAGAGAGTTAGTGGACAATAATTGCCCTTTAGAAATTGAACTAGTAACGGGAATTTTTCCTTTAGAAATTTGGTAACAGCATATCATTTCTCTCGTGTGGATTAGCTCATTCTGGTTTTAATCGTATTCAAACTCTTACTTATGATTTAAAGTTTCAATTAAATCTTAGGTTGGAGAAATTCTTTTAAAAATGGCCGTCGAGGAATCTCACGTTCCAAAGCAGATATTTGAGAATTTGGAAATCACTAAGTCACTAGATTCTGAGCTTAACACACATAACATAGGCGGAGTTTTGTCTACACCTCCTGTTCGGAGCCTTGCAAAGCAATATGATATAGATATAAATGAAGTCTCTGGAACCGGTAAAGATGGGAGAGTGTTACGAGAAGATGTCCTTAAATATGCTGCCCAGAAGGGAATCGTTGAAGTTCCTTCTGCCTCCTTGAGTGCTAGTCCTGAGAAAGCTTTGGGAAGAAAAGAGACTTGTGCACATACATCAGCTGAATCGGGATGGAATTATGAGGATACGACAGTTGCCCTGAGGTAATATAGCATGCAAACATGAACTTGGAATACCTCCTTTGTTCATTAATGAATCATTTGTATGATCCATGGCTGGAACTTATGTCACGTAATACTAGAATTTCATAGAGAACATTTGTTTTTAGTGGTCTTATTCAAGACGAAGTGAAGTATGCCGTGAATTAATTAAAATGTGTTATTTCAGGGGATTCCAGCGAAGAATGGTTACGTCAATGAGCATGGCTGCAAAAGTTCCACATTTTCATTATGTTGAGGACATAAAGTGTGATGCACTTGTGGAGCTGAAAAATTCTTTCCAAAGTAATAACACCGATTCCAATGTCAAGCACACTTTTCTTCCATTATTGATAAAGACTCTCTCAGTGGCCATGAGCAAATATCCGTTGATGAATAGTAGCTTCAATGAAGAGTCACTCGAGGTCATCCTCAAAGGTTTGTACACTCCATGGCAATTATCATCCGTTGGCTGCAGCAATGTTTCTACTTTGGCTTAGTCTTTTATTAGTGACATGGAAAACTTGCTAGTATTAATTTTGTCTTGAAGTGGGGTTTTGACTTAACAAAATGGAAATTGTTATAGGTTCGCACAATATCGGAATTGCCATGGCTACTCCATATGGTCTAGTTGTGCCAATCATAAAGAACGTTCAATCTCTTTCCATTTTGGAGGTTAGTTCTATGTCACCTCTCAACTGTGGCTTACACTGTGTGTCTGAATATGTATACACTTCTTGGTTTGTTTGCATGAGATTCAAGATTTGGAGAACAATTTCTCGGTTGCATGTTGAACTTTACGATTCTAAGATATTTACAATTATTTCTACCTACTCAGGTGAAAGAATGACATATGCTTTTATTACTTATATGTTCCATGTGTGCAGATAACAAAGGAACTTTCACGGTTACAACAATTGGCATTGGAAAACAAGCTCAAGCCTGAAGAGATATCTGGTGGAACAATAACCTTAAGCAACATTGGAGCAATCGGTGGGAAATATGGTTCGCCTCTTCTGAACTTGCCTGAGGTTGCCATTATTGCAATTGGGCGAATTCAAAAGGTTCCGCGATTTGCGGATGACGGAGGTGTATATCCTGTCTCAGTTATGACGGTGAGTGTTCCTTTTGTTTTTCCAATAAAACCAATTGAAAAGGTTAAATCTACATATTACTTCCATACAAATTACCAAATCACTGCATGCCAGTGCCCTTACCCTTACAAATCCCCATGGACATGCGCATTGGGCCTTTTTTCTAGGATGCTATGATGAAATAGTTGGCCGTCTAAATATAACAATTTTGTTTCTCAGGTCAATATAGGCGCAGATCACAGAGTGCTGGATGGAGCAACTGTTGCCAGGTTCTGCAACGAGTGGAAACAATATATAGAGAATCCAGAGCTGCTCATGTTGCGTATGAGATAGATAACTGGTCGTCGATGGCCTCGCTGCTTGAAAACATGCTCTTCCCAATTGACTGAATTCACTGTTGCCTTTGCATAGTTCGATTTCAAGGCTGTTTACAAGCAAGACAGCCGGCTGAAGAGAAGTTGGCCCCCTTTTTTTTTTTTTTTTATATATATATATAAATAATTCACATGTAGACTTGATATTTTCTTTTCGTAATAAGTTGATTAAGTTCTCTTGCTTCGTTTGCGAAACGAGTATGTTTCTACGTAAAGTTACAAGTAAGCAGAACAGTTCTCAGTTATTTAGTTTAAGCGGTTTGATCAAATTCAACCGTTTTACGTGTCTGCACTGAGCGTCTATACATAAAATTGAACCCAAAGATAACGGTCATCGATCAATTAGGTGTGGTAGCACGAGTTCTTTTGTATGAAAAAGAAAGTATAATAAACAAAAAATTAGTGGGGGACATAAAGAAAAGAAAGTGAAAAATGGAGGGGGAGAAAAAGAGAGAACCCAAATATTGTGTTCAGAATTTAAGTGGATAAAAAGAAGGAGGAACATCCGCGCCACTATATAAACCGTTTTCAACCGTCACCAACCGCTCTAGAAGTATCAAACGGACAAAATTACTTGATCAGCTTCCCTTCGGAAATACAAACTTTTTCTCTGCAGAATTCCAAAACCTCTCGGCTTTCTCTCATGGCAGTCGAAATGCACTTACTCATATCCCTCTTGGCTCTCTCTTTTCGCCTTTCCTTGTTCGAATTTGTTTCAGACGAAGCAGCGATGCCGGAGTTCACTTTCAGTTGGATGGATGACAATGACACCTTCCGAGCCGGCGACATTGCAACCATAAGAATCAGAGCGCTGAACAACTTTGACAAGCTCGACAAGAACAAGTTTAAACCTACTCTTACAGTGAATGGGAAGCCCGGGAATTGCTCTTTCGTGTCGGGTGTTCTTTCGGATTTTGAAGGAGACCCTAGCAGTTGGAAACTCTTCTTTACTGCCATAACCGCCGGGGCATTTAACGTTATGATCAACGAGGATCGCTACAAAGTGTTTGATTCTTCTCTGCATTTTCAAGTTCATCCAGGTTTTTTATTTATTTATTTTTTATTTTTAATTTCACTAAAAGAATTGGACTGCTGATTTTCTTGCCAAGTGTTCTCTGATACATGATGGATTTTACCTATTTTTCGATTGAAGGGCAAATATACCCGTCTTCGTGTGTTGCTTCGTGGATGGGTTTCAACAATGAATTCGAAGCAGGGACTAAAGCTAGGGTAATGATACTTCCAAAGGACGCGTTTGGAAACAATGTCTCCAAAAACAATGAAGATCCAAGATTACATAATTTTACAGTGTCTGCAGTCTATGCAAATGGTTCCATAGCGAACATGCCAGACATCACGCATTTGGGTTGGAATGATTTCGGTTATATCATCTTGGAGTTCATTGTGGTGAAAGCCGGAGATCTCTTGTTGTACGTGGGAGATGGTAATCAGACCTTGAATGGCTCTCCCCTACCGCTTAAGGTGAACCCAGGTGGTGTTTCGTAGCAATAGTTATACATTTATAGTGTATGCTTACACCATGTACAAAACTTGAGCTAGAATTTCTCTAATTTGTGATTTAAGCAGTTACATTTAGGTTTATAGCGGAAACGATGAAGCTCCCATCTGCCTGCAGAATAAATTGGTCGATTATGTTACTATTTTACACTTCACCGATGCATTCTTCTTAGTTGTTACGTCTTTCCATTTGTTGATTCTGAGCTTCGGAGTTATTTTCCCTGGCCTATAGCAGGACCACTAGAAGTTTCCAATTGTGCGGTGAAATGGAATTTTGAACCAAATGCATGGCAGTTATATTCGAAGATGGAAATCTTTATACATCAGCAAGATCGATATGGGAACCTTGTTCCTGGTCTGTATGCATTTGATGCTGAAGTTGTAGAGGTAGAGACAAATTTGTCTATACCTGTTGCAGATTTGCACTTTGAAGAAGTGGTGGCTGGAATTCAGTTGTTTTCCTTTAGCAATCTAGAACCGGGGAACTTCTTGCTCACTATATCCGATATGAAGCATTATAAGAGTATCTCTAATATGCCATATGCTTATACTGTCTTTGTCGGTAAGGCCCTGTAGGTGGTTAATCCAGTTATGAATAACCTATTGCTGTTGCTGCTTCCACTTCCATTCACACGCCTCTCTCTTGCTTACATTTGGATAGGTTATTGCAACGGGACAAACAGCGTTGTCAATGGATCTGGTTTAAACAGCTCTACTGCTGGAGTACTAGCAGAGTTTTCAGTTTATCTGAATGATGCTTTTCAATATCCCTCTCCCGTTGAAATAGAACGGCTCGAAGTACAAATTGTAAGGGAAAATGACTCCTATAATGTGCAGTCAAGCATATTTCCTATGCAAACCATCAATGGTATAAATGGTAGCTAGCAATTTTTGAGCTGTTTCCTATGATAAACTTTTTGGTTATAAACTTACAAAGTTTATATCTCTAAGTTAGGGAGTGGACCTGCTCGAGCGTTAAGATATGGTGCAACCAGCCAGATAGAAATCGCTCCATCACCATCTATGGACCCAATAAATTCTGTAAGAAGTATCCGTGTATATATACACAAAAACATGCATCAACATATACATAGTATTACGTACACATATTTTGTATTACTTCTTTAAGCTTTTGTATTCTAATTTTTGAGGTACAATGTTTCTGAATTTAGTCTGTTGGGAGCTTCAGCGCCCTGGTAACTGCTTTCAATGTGGTGTATACACCCACCAAGAGTGGGATCTATAACATCTACGTATTTTGTGGAAATATTCTACTCAATGGCGGTCATCCGTTTACAATGGAAGTAAAAGGAGGTATATTCACCTGATATTTTCTCTAGTTTTCATGACCATCATGTTAAGGAAGCACAACTTGATCTGGAAATCTAGAAGAAACTATATGATCTTGAGAAGTTCGCTACAAGTTTTATTCGTCATTGCATGAACTATCATACTGTTTCAGCCTCTCTTATTTGATTTCTGATGAATGAATTCCTAACTTTTCTGCAGGAAAGGTTAACACATCACTCTCAGAAGTCGTCAAATTTTCTCCCAAGGTGCCGAAGATGATTAACAATGAAGTATTAGTGCAGCTCGTGGATTCATTTTATAATCCTGTCTTGTCACAACAATCTAGGCTGAAACTAGAGATTGCTTCAGTTAACAGTTCTGGCTTTTCAAATTCCATGTTTGTGGATAACAATGATGGCTCATACACCGTTCAATATCTGGCTGAGAATGTTGGTAGTTATGAGATATGTGCTTCATTTAACGGCAAACGCATCTCTCCCTGCCCCTTCGGGATCAATGTCTACAGCAGTAAGTTTGAAAAACAAGAAGTTGTGTAAGAGTAGCTCTATTTTCTTTTGTTGTATCAATTAAATGGGATTTGATTTTTCTACTCGTGTTATGGATCGATACTGTGCAAGCATGCTGTCATCGATTGATGTTTATACTTTATAGCCAAGCACTGTTGGTGGTATTAATTTTACTTTCATGGACTGATTTATTTGCAGGCGAATATTTTCCCAGAGCCTACATTGATACAATATCTGTCTGGGAGGATGAGTCAATCGCTTTTGATGTTTTAGCAAACGACTACTTTGCTGGAAATAATGCAAGTGTTGTTGAATACTCAAAGGTACAATACAAAGTGAAGGTTTTCAAACCATTGTTTCACTACTCTCTCTTCTTTACAAAAGTGGAACTGCTACTGATCAGTGATCACAAGCAGGCGTATGCACGTGAACACCACCTACCCTTTTAAAGGATTTCAATTTGCCTGGAAATTTGACTGGTTTATATTTGTCAGCCAGATCGTGGTTCCCTTCTTGAGTATGGAAGACTACTCCGCTACACGCCTCGTAAAGACTATTACGGCAATGATTCTTTTGTGTACACAATGTCTGATATAAACGGAAATCTTGCTACTGCTGCTGTAAACATATATGTTCTCACTATCCCGCCCCAATTTGTTTCTTTTCCAAGCGAACTACAAGCAACTGAAGACGAGATTAGTCCCAGATTCGGGTAACGTACTATTAATCTATAACACTTCAATTTTCATATATGCTTCTGTATAATTATAAATTCGACTATTTGCAGTGGTTTCCGCGGGTTTGAGATAAGGTATTCGGATGCGATGGAGAACATCTCTGTGAATCTCACTGCGCAATCTGGGACAGTCATTCTGTCTCCTATGGTAGTGCAATTCTGGGAGCCAGTTTGGACAGGACTTTCTGTATACACATCAGATGGAGATGCAAAGGGTTTGATTATAGTAGGCTGTGTGGAAGTAATTAATTTTGCCCTTCAGTCAATTCAATACTTCGGGTACTATTCATCTATCTGCTTTTGCTTCTTATAATTGGCCTCCTTCATTGAGTAACATCATTTTTTATCCTCCATTTCCCTCGAGTCAGGAACGAGAACTTTTGTGGCTATGATACAATTCGAGTGTCTACGAGAAACAGGAATGGAATAAATAAATTGGATGTTCCAGTTTTTGTGGAACCTATTAACGATCCTCCATTTATTCATGCTCCTGAATACATTATTTTGAAAAGTAATGAAGACAAGTCACCGATATACAACAGAGAAAAAGACAAGTTTGAGTTCTGCATCGGTGATCCAGATCTTCTTGCGTTCCCTGGTATGGCTCTGGTCGAATTCAAAGTAGGGTAGATGACGACTTCAATCTCTGAGTTTTAGAGGATATCAATATGTTTGTTCTTTGCCCCATAATCTTTCAGGTAACGAGTCCCTTTTCAGAGTCACCTTTTCCGTGGAAGTTAATGACGGATATTTGGCAACCAGCCTACCAGCTGAGCTCATCTCCACAACCGAACTGAAGCTCAAGAATAGTTATCAGTGGCTACCTCTTCAGACATATGTCAGCATCTCAAAACATTTCATGGTGAGAGCTAAGGGAGTTAGATTTCAAGGAACATTTAATGACTGCAACGCTGTGATGCGACAGCTCTTTTATCATGTGAGTTGGGTTCTTCGCTTTGATTTCATTGCATCTAATTTACAGCATCGTCTGTTGATTCATCACATTTCTTGTACAGGGAGGAGAACAGGATGCAATCTTGACAGTGAAATTGAATGACATGGGAAACTACGGATGCTATTTTAATTGTGATGATAAGATATCGGTGCCTTTACAGGCTGAGGCTTCCGTTAATCTAATAAGGCGAAGGCCAATGAGTTCGCTTGTGGCTCACGGTAAGTGGTAATGCATGTATGTCAGTAACTTATAGCCAAAGTGCTTCTGTCTTGGGTCATACAGCTCCAAACAAAAATCAATTTAGGTCTTGAAATAGCCGAAGTGCTTCTGTTTATTGTGAGGAATGCAGGCTTGGGGTCAGCTATTGTCATCGAATCCACTATAGTGTTTTTCCTCGGAGCAGTGCTACTATTTTTCACATGCAAATGTGCAGCTCACCTTGTACATGAAAGAAGAAACAAAGCCACTAGGGCACCAGAGCAGGCAAGCGCACCTAGTTTGCGCAAAGGAACGGTAAGTATGATATGTATCATATGATATAACATGGCGCATTTTTTACTCCGGAACACTTTTAGATCACCTCTTTGGTAATGCAATGCTGTGCCGATTCATGTGTAGTTGAGGACAAATCTACCAGCAAATGCAGACACCGGTGTTTGTTCAAGCCCTTTGCTTGGCAGCCAACATTCCAACTTTCGCCAACGGTAATGATTTCTCAGACTCAGGTAGCAATAGGCAGTAACAAAGCATTCTGACATGTAGTTCCTTTGAGTTCAGGTCGCATCGTCAATCTGGAGACGAGGAATCTGGCAAGGCAGAATGTCAGCGACTCCATTCCGGTAGCGGACGCAGTCAGGAAACTCCTACTGCCCCTAGTTTTATGCCCCTTGCTATTGACAAGGAACAAAGTGAAACAGTTTGAGCTTACATTGAAACATTGTTGTTTATTACTCAAGTTACCCAGTGTAATACTTTGATAAATGTTGTAGAAAAAATTGGATGGATTTTCCTTTCCCTTTTTGTTCATCTGCTCTCAGTTGCCTACTTGCTTGTACAAGATTTTAACTGTTGATGCATATAGGGTTGTATTTTATTAACGGTAAGAAGTTATGCATATTTGTCTTAACATAATTCATATGGACCTATCGCAACAAAGTGTTTCGTAATTCATATTGTGACATGTGTTTGTTGGATTGTGAATCAAATTCTCTCCACTTTCAATCCAATTCTCTCCACTTTGTTCCATAATGAAATCAAAAGGTCAATACACGTACGATTAAATAGTGCATTTTTGCTCATCATTCTAAAGTGTTCTCGAATATCATTTACCGCATTTATCATTATTAAATATGCGTGATTTGATCTCTTTCCTGTACATATCTCGACATTTAAAATGTAATGACAACTGATGTAGTAACAAAGCAAAATTGTTCCCTAATTAAAAAAAAAAAGAGAAAATTGTAATTTGGATTACGACATTAAAATATGATATTTTAGCTGCAAAATTCCAAATACTAATAAAAATCAATAAAGTTCATGAAATGATTCGACAAAATAATTAACAAATTACAAAGTTCAGGATACGACAACTCCGTGCGGGAAACATTTCAGTTGGAAATCGTAGCCGGAATCAAGGACTGAAACTTTGGAGATGGCAGCGACGGCGTTAGAGAAGCTTTTGCAAGCGGGCACTAAGATCGTCGGAGTCGGCAGAAACTACGCCGCCCACGCCAAAGAACTCGGCAACGCCGTCCCCAAGGTCCACCCTCTTTCTCTCTCCTCTTCCCCTCTCTCTCTCAATTCTGATTTATTGTGATTTGTGAAGGAGCCCGTGCTTTTCCTCAAACCGACGTCGTCTTACTTGAAGAACGGCGGCACGATCGAAGTCCCTCACCCTCTGTTGTCGTTGGACCATGAGGTAGAGCTGGCGGTGATAATCTCCCAGAAAGCTCGCGATGTTCCGCAATCCACAGCCATGGATTACGTCGCCGGTAAATTTGTAATTTTTGTTACTGTTATTTGTTAATTAATCAGTTAATAATGCTGCTGTTAATGATTTAATTTTGAGTTTAAATCTGATTGGCGAAAATCGGATGGTTTAAGGTTATGCACTTGCTCTGGATATGACTGCCAGAGAAATTCAAGCTTCTGCTAAGGTAATTATCGAAAATCGGATTGTTTAATGTGATCAAACACGGTAGTGAAATGTTCATTTTATGACAAGAAGTTTCTAATTAGAATGTTAATGCTGCAATTCATGATAATCAATATGTTTTAATTTAAACAGCTACTGCAAATGTATGTTGGTTTCTGATGAATGAGTTATCGTGCATATAAGACTTTTCGTTTCTCGTTTTATCTAGATGTTCGATGTGAGATGTGTGTTAATTTAGCTCATACGTAAGGATCAATACAAGTGATGTTTCTCAGAGGAAAATAAACATTAGATGAACAACTTTATAAACCGAGAGGTACCTGTGATGTAAACTGCGAAAAAGTCCAGTAGTCACTATTGTGGCCTGATCTCATGAAGAATAAGAACGGAACGGTTCAAGTTCTAAACTTGTGCTCTATTTTAGGATACCTAAAGTTAAAGCGTGGTCCTTTTACTTCCTGTCCAATTTGAATATAAAGATTTGTATATGCGGATAACTGGAGATGCCGGTACAATGTTGTTATCGTTGTAAATGTATGTTATTTCCTTTTACAGTCTGCAGGTCTTCCATGGACCATAGCTAAGGGGCAGGACACCTTCACACCAATCAGTTCCGCAGTAAGAATTGCATTGCTTATCTTTGATGCTTTTCTCTTTGTTACGGGTGATTTTCTATTGTATGTTCATTGTGAGGTAGCTAATGTGAAAATAATTTCAGACCAATGGGGCGATGAGGGTGTGTTATATGGGCTATATTGATTATTTATGCTGACATTTATCACTATAGAACGGAACTTAATTTTAAAAAAGAAAGCTTGTTTAGAGATGGGGGTGAGGATGAGTATCGCAAATTTAACCGTGCTTGGCTCTGTTGCCACGCCAACTAAAGCTTCCCAGATTAACTTGTCCAGTTTATTATAAGGTAGTTGAGGGAGAACATGGGGTTATTTTTCCCAGTTAAGACCTATTTGATATGGGATGCTCTGTAGAGGCATGGATATTAGTTGTAAACTTATAATTTCACCAGAGTTATAATGCAAATAATTCAATCACTATGACTATCTATATTTTTAAGCATATTTAACCATTTGATCTCCAAACTTCATGCAGCTGCCCAAGGAAATGGTGCCAAACCCGGATGATATAGAGTTGTGGCTGAAGGTTCTTAGTGCTTCCTTTGCTTTCACGAGCTCTAGTATTGGCATGATTATTGTATTGGCCACTTCTAATGCGTTCAAATTAATTCGCTTCACCGCAGGTAGATGGAGAATTGAGGCAGAAAGGCTCAACCAAGGACATGATATTTAAACTCCCGTTTCTCATCAGCCACATAAGTTCCATTATGACACTTCTCGAAGGAGATGTAATACTAACAGGTATGAAATTTTTATCTGTACCTAAGGTTTCCATCCAACCCCACTTCCTCCGCGTCTAGGAGACATGCGAGTATTTTTTCGACATGAAGCTAATTATGGTTTGGTACTGCTTGCGCAGGCACTCCCCAAGGTGTTGGCCCAGTAAAAATAGGTCAAAAGATAACTGCTGGCATAACCAACCTCGTGGATGTTCAGTTCAATGTCGAAAAACGGAAGAGCCAAGCAAGTTCTTGAGCTAGTTGAATTTGCGTTCTGGTGCTATTGTATTTGACTCTCGGATTAAACATCTTACGAGGTGGTATTTGAACATGTCCATTTGTTTTGTTCTTCACGTTTGGAGTTAGATTAAAATGGAGTGAAATAAAGAATGTAGGCGTAGAATGAACATTTTTCGGATGGAAATAAATTTCAGTTTATTATTTCTTACGCTGCCTAGAAAGTAGTCCATTGATACCATAAAACACTCTAGAAATATTATATTTGCAAAAAATAATTAAAATTAAGGTCATTTAGTCAATAAACTGTAGCAAATAGATAGATAGTTTGTAGTACTTTTGTAGATTTCAACAATCTGTTTTCGTACAATTCGGTGACTAAACACTCTCATATGTTATAGATTTTTCGTTGAGATGATTTTTACGTAGTAATCTTTTATTAATAATTCTAATCATGAGCAGGAAGTTTCGTGGATCGGCCACGAAACTAATAAACACAAGTAATTAGTTAAGTGTCATATATCTCAATGGTAATTGAGTTTGAATTATTATTCTACTATTGTTTTAAAGGATTTATATGTAGAAAACTCTTAAGTTAATGGGTTTGTTAGTAATTTTAATATTCATTTTGTTCGATGCTTCGTCCGAAAAAAAAAAAAGAAAAAATCATGTTTGATGCATGTTTTTAGGACTAAATACATTTTACACCGTTGAGGTGTAGAATCAATTTTGAAATGATTCATGAGATTTTAATTTTTCTTGTTACACCTCAACATTTGACATTAAAACAATTTACACCTTTTGTCGGACTCGTGAGAAAGTAGGAGAGTTGTCAAACGGGTAAAGTGACAAAGTGGTGCAACATCTACCTATATAGGTTTAGTGTTTACTTTTGTCATACCTTCATGAACCCAGCAATAGTGTGTATTTTGATACTGTACCTTACGGACATTTGAACGCATTCACAATTCTTTTAAAGCAACCTACACAATTTTAACTCCTCACGCACTTCTCTATATTTCAAGTAATCGGATTGACTAAATCAAACATAAACTAGCTTATAAAATTAAACTTAACTTTCATAGTTTAAAATACACGCATCATCAATGACGATTTACAACAACAACAAAAAAGAAAAAAAACTAGTTGACGGAAGTTTCACACCGATAAACAAGGAAACAACGATGTTTGTTACGTCACTTAAAAGTCTGAGGCAAGAAATGCATAACTGAAACACCAGTAGGCAGTAGCCAGCAAGCATCGACATACGGACATATATACGGCTAATGGAATTTCTTGACGAAGTCGTGAATGTGTTTGCTGATTTCATCAGGCTTCTCTTGTTGCAGAAAATGGGCGACTCCTTCCAGTACAACTACTTCTTCCAGAAGCGGCACATATTTCTTGAACCCGCCTTTGTGTATGAAGTCCTGAGCACCTAGAGAGTTGTAAGTCAGGTCCTGGTCTCCCACGATAAACTTCACTGGAACTTTCACTTGAGCCTCAGTCCATGGGGCAGTTAATTCCCAGTTTCTGCATTGTTAAAGCGAAAGAAATTAATTAAAACAACGATTACCATTATAGTCGACAGCAACACATAAGTTCGAAACAAATTACGTACACGTCCAAATTCCGATAGTAGTTTACGGGGCCGGTGAAGCCCGTCTTGTCAAATTTGGTGGCGTAGTATTTCACGTCATCCTCAGACAACCAACTTGGCAAGACAATAGGAGCATCTGTCGGACGTCCAAATCCTTTCCCTTTAGGCAGGAAAGCTGGACCAGGATTCCTATATGTTAGAAACTCCTTGATAGCTCTTGTAGTGCCCATCTGAGCAAACTCGGCTTCTATCACTCCTGGCTCCTGCAAATATGAGTAATATTTTTTAGTAGAGCGATAGAGTTAATGAGTTAGTTAATTATTTGTTAAAGAGAGGGGCGATAAGAATCGAAAGCGCAGAAAAGTGCACATGCATGATTACTTTTCACAAATACGATAAAATATCATCTACAACAACAATATTTTCGTATTAACCCAATTTGGTAGGCACTTCAACCTAAAAAAAAAAAAGAAAAAAACAATCAACTACATTACAATAAAATGTTCATACGTAACTACAATCAAAATGTTAGCTTTTAAAGGTAGAAAATGTAGTAAAATATGTGGAGCCAAAAATAATCAAGAGGCGACACGTGGATTTTTAGGTGAAGAGGACAAAATTACCCTCAAGACATACCAGGTTTCCTACACTCGAGCAGTGGAGAATCATCCATCAATCGAGTCAAGAGTGCCCAAAATAGTTAACAAGTTCAAATTTATCTCATCCATCATTCCATAACCTTCAAAACCCTCCCTATTAATTAAATTAATTAGGCTAATTAATGGATTAATTCCTAATTAATCCATTAATCACCATTACACCCCAAAAAACATCCAAGGGTCGGCCACTTTCTCTTCCAAAGAGGGCCGGCCATGCTCTATAAATAGGACTCCATTTTCTTTGAAAGGGGAGTTTCACACTTTTGCAAAACTTCCAAAAACTCTCCAAACATTTTTCTCTCAAAATTCTAACTTTAGCATAAGAGGTTCTTCGGCCAAAACCCCTCCATTCATCCGTGAGGCTCTTGGCCTTGACCTAAGATGTTATTTATTTTGTAGGTGCAATTTTGTCCACGAACAAGGAAGAAAAAATTTACATCTACAAAATACACTGTCACATCCGATTTAAAGTAACACTTTGGGATTCATATTGATTCCACATAGACAGATATGATCATTTTCAATCTGCTAGGATTTAAAGCAACACCGGCAATTTGTAATAAAGTGATGTTATCCATATATTTATTTTTAATTTTTATAATTTTTTAGTTTTTAGGTGTCCAAATAAATTAGTTGAAGAAAATTAAATAATAAAAATTAACAAAAAAATGAGTAGAAAATAAAAGATAATGTGTTGATAGCATCCCATGGAGCCAGTCAATCCCTTCCCGTCAATTGGGGCAAAGATAATTATTACTTAGTACATAGTATGTGCCAAGTACATCTCCATCCAACATAAATTGCCTAGACAAATAATATTAAAATTATTCCTAGAAAAATTAATAAAAATACAATATTATTTTATATTGTTATATCTATTTCTTCGTCATTGTCTATAAACTTCTCCATCTCCTCCCTCCTTTTTCTCCGTGAATCTCTAAAAACCTCTCCGTCTCGATCATGGGTCTGCTGTACCTAAACTAGTGTCTCCAGTATGTCTCCTTTCTAACTTCGTGACCTTGGTGCTTCAACTTAACAATAATTTTTCAACTTAACACCAATTTAACAACCTTAACTTGAAAAATAAAACTAAAAACTTAAGAAAAACAACAGCATCCCCCAAACTATCCGACAACCATCTACCCCAACAAGTCCCACCCGTCGTCCCAAAGCTCCTCATCGGCGGCGAAGGTTATCTCTTCGCCCTTTCTGTCTCTTCCTCTCTCTCCAAATCAGAGAAGTGTAAAGGCCAATAATTAAAGTCATCTAACTCATATCTCCACAGACATAACCAGCAACGTTGTTACCAAAACCCTTATCTGATCGATCTAGCCCACCAACAAATTTCTGGGTATTTTGGAATTTGAGGACAGCCACAATTTTTTTTTTCTTCTGGGATTTGAGGATAGCCACAATTATTTTTTTCTAGGGTTTTTTGGGTTCTTTCTGGAATTTGGGGATAGCCACAATTCCTTAAAAACCAAAGAATTTGGATTGCGTGGTTGATTTGTGTTCTTCCGACTGGGATTTAGTAGCAGAAATTGCGAGGAGGTTGTATGTGGTTTGGTGGGTGGCTATCGGGTAGGTGGAGCTTTTGTTTTTCTTTAATTTCTTTTTATTTTTATATTTGTCTTTAGAAAAAGATAAATTGATTTCCAATAGTATGGAATTTTGTGGGGCTAAAAAATTACAAAAATAAAATAAAATAAAAAATAAAAAGTACCAAACCTGAAATCTGCACATGTAATAGTCATCGCCATAAGCAGCTTGAACCATTTCGATGAACTTCCTCTGAGGGTTTCGCGGCCGAAACTGCACGCTCAAGCTGACCAAGGCTTTGACCCGGTCGGGCCAGAACAGACAGAGGTACCAAGCGATGATGGCGCCCCAGTCGTGGGCTACCACGAAACCTGCTCCTGATCGGGTGCGATGGCGTCCAGGAGCGCCACGAGGTCTCCAACCATGTGGAAGCAGGTGTAGCTGGAGGGGGAGACGGGGGCGTCTGTGTCGCCATACCCTCGGAGGTCGGGGGCGACGGCGCGGTAACCGAGGGCGGAGAGGGTGAGGATTTGGTGGCGCCAGCAGTACCAGAGATCGGGAAAGCCGTGGATGAAAAGGATGAGTGGGCCATTCCCTTTCTCGGCGACGTGCATGTTGATGCCGTTCACATGGACCGTTCGGTGCTCTATTCCCTCCGACTCCATGATCGTCGATCGTTCTCTCTCTCACGAGTGATTACTGTTTGGATGTTTCTGTGTCTTTTTATAAGGAAGCCTGCAGAAATATTGATTACCGTTTGGATGTTTGTGTGTCTTTTTATAAGGAAGCCTGCAGAAATATTTGTTTTTTTCTACCTGGTGTTATTGTATTCGACTCTCGGATTAAACGTCTTACGAGGCGGTATCTGAACTTGTTCATGTTAGGAGTGAGATTAAAATGGAGTGAAATAAGGAATTTAGGCGTAATTTCATATGGGGCAAGGAAACTATGGTCGTTGAAGCTTGTGTTGCCCACACCCGGCGACAAGCAGATTCGGTTGCTCGTCACTTAGCTCATTTTGCTCTTTATTGTGGAAACAATTGTACTTGATGAGATCAACTTCCAACCTTAATTAGTGACCTTATGGAGGAGTTATCTTCACCCTGTACTGATTAGCCTTTTATAGCTTCAATGAAATATATGCTGCCGTTTTCTTAAAAAAAAAGCATTTTGCCTCATTTTTTTTTTGGGTAGAAAGGCAAAAGTTTTATTGCCAACAAAACTTTACAAAACAGAGGCCCAAAACAAATATACAAAGGCAACGCGGGCCAACCAAAAAGAAACACCAAGCGCCCAACCAAAGATTAGGCTAAAAAACAAAAGCAAACCGACTGAAAAGGTAATCCTAGCTTCCTGCAACAATTGCCGCCGCACCTCGCAAACAGCTCGAACCATCGAACCCAACC